CTCATTCAGTGTTATTTTTTTCCATCACCATAAATAACCAGCATCTACTGTCTAAAGAATGAATCCCTCCTCCCCCATCCCTGGAAGCCATTGATGAACATTCCAAACACACTGCCATTGAGTTGATTCTGACTCACAGTGATCCTACTGGACAGAGTGGAAATGCTCCATAGGGTTTCCAAAGCTGTAAATTTTCACAGACGTAGACTGCCTCATCTTTCTCCCATGGAGTGGCTTGTGGGTTCAAATTGCCAACTTTTTGGTTAGCAGCAGAATGCATTATCTACTACGCCACCAGAGCTTGTTCATGTCATTTCATAAAAGTGAAATTATATAATATTTTTTTTTGTGATTGACTTATTTCATGCAACAGGATGTCCTCTGGGTTTACCCATGTTCCAAGATGTTTTGAGAACTCATTTTTCTTCATCATTGAATAGTATTCCATTGAATGTATTCCACGGTATTCTGTTTTACTTGTCCATTCATCCGTTAATGGTCAGTTAGGTTGTTTCCATTTTTTTTGCTATTGTCAGTGATGCTGCAGTGACTCGGCTATGTACATTGTAGGAGTTAGGATTTACAACACATATTTTTTGGGGACACAATTCAATCCATAACAGTGCCTTTCCCCATCCAGAGACCTACAGGGTTAGGTCTGACTGTCCTCTTCCTCCAATAGGCTCTATAATGGCCTTCCTAATTGGGAGTGTTGTCAGAGACAGCCCCCCAGAGATAGGACTTTTGGGGATCTAGGACATAGTGTCATGTTCCCAAGGAACCTTAAGAATTGGAATTTGAGATCCTTTAGAGCCTGCTATGGCTATGTCTATAACTACATCTTGGAATAATGGCAACAGTGAACTTGCCCAGCATTCTCCATTTCAGGGCAGAGCATAACTTTAATGGTCAACTCATCCCATCTCTAATTTTACAAAAAAGAAAACCAAGGAGCAAAACATTTACTAAAAGCCACTTTGTGGTTCAGAGTAGTGATTAAAAGTGGTCTTTGGAGCCAGGTTACCTAGGTACACATTTCAGCTCTGCTGCTTACTGTGTGAATTTGAGTAAATTGCTTAAGTTTTTGTGCCTCTGTCCCTCATCCATATAATGGGCATGAACATAGTATAAGGATAAACTGAGTTACTATATCTAAAGCACTTAGAACCATGCTTGGCATATACTTGTTATTGTTGTTATATGCTGTCGAGTCAGATCCAACTCATAGCGACCCCTCCTTGGGTTTCTAAGATGGTATCGCTGTGGAAGTAGATTGCCCAACCTTCTTCTGAGGAGTTGCTGGTGGGTTTGAACTGCCAGCCTTCTGGTTAGCAGTCAAGTGCCTTAGGCACTACGCTACCAGAGCTCCTTGGCATATACTTAATACCCAACAAATGTTAGTCTTGATTGGTAGACAAGGTGGTATGTTTGTCCTGGAGAGAGATAGTTTCAGGGGATGTGCTTAATGTAAATGCATTATCCCACAGGCTGGGCCTGGAAGTGCCTCTGCTCCCTGCTCCATAAACACTGGCTTCCAGTGCCATGGAGTTTTAAGACATATAGTTGTATTGCTTTTGGGATTTAGTTGTCATGAATTCAGACTATCCTAACAAGAATGAGATTTTTACTCTGTTTGGTATCAACAGTTTGCATCTCTTATCAACATAGAGGCTTCTGGCCCCTTGAAATGAGTGGGGCCATTTATTCAGGGCAGAGGGAAGTATGGAGCACAGAGCCACCAGAATACCACTGGCCAGGTGAGAACAGAGGGACTCCTATTGTCCTCCACTGTAAACTCAGGCTGAGTAGGTTGTACATACTTGGCTACATGGATGTCCTTCCAGGATATTTTCAGAGTTGTCTCAGTCTTTTTCACAACATTATCCAAATGTAGAAAAGGGAATTTAAGGGACACTTATAGGCAAGATCAGCTACACACTTTGTGGGATCTAGTACAAAATGAAAATATGTGGCCCTGTTCTGGTTACCTAGTGCCTCTCTGACAGGAATATACTACAAATGAGATGGCCTTAACAAACACAAACTTATTCTCTTACAGTTTGGGAGGCTAGAAGTCCAAGTTCAAAGTACCAGGTTCTAGGGGCTGTGTGAAAGTCCCTTGACCTTGGGCTTCAGCTCTACCTCTTGCTCCCGACCCACTGAAGCTAGAGGTATCTCTTCACTCAGGCAGCTGCTGGCTGCTGAGGCTAACAAGCCCAAGGTTGATAAATAAAATGGCACAGTCCTGATGTTACCAAACCACATGGCTGGCCATTAATTCAAGGCCATCAAAAGTCCCAAGGTTGGCAGAGCATGGCAACACTGCTGAACAAAGACACAGCTACATGCAGGGTTCAAGTGTGCCCTAAGCTAGAGACTATTCCCAAAGCTGTTTCTTATATATGGGAAGCAGACCATATACCCAAAGGCAGCTACTCAGCTGCTCACAGTAGATTCCACCATGGAGTTGATTACCAGTCTCACCATGGGGAATATGACATTCAGCTGCCCAGCCATTCAACCAGGCCCAGCCAAGTTGACACACAAACTTAACAACCACAGGCCCCTTGTTCAAAAGTTAAGGGGTTGTGGTGGCGTAGCAGGTAAGGCATTTGGCTGCTAACCCAAAGGTCGGTAGTTCAAACTCACCAGCTTCTCCAGAGGAAGATGAGGCAATCTACTTCCATAAAGATTTACAGCCTTGGAAACCCAATAGGAGTCACTATGAGTTGGAATCAGCTTGATGTTGGTGGGTGAGTTGTTCAAAAGTTGCTTAAATTTACTTATGTCAACACCAGAGACTAACCCAGCTTTGGGGCTGATCCTACTCCCAGCTCATGGTGCCTCTCACTTCCTTTTGCTCTACCTCCCCAGCTCCCAGACAGACAAAGTGAGGTTGGTATTTTAAAAAAATATTTTATATTGGAACATTATGTTCCCCATGCAAGGCATTGTTTTCTTATTTTCAGATGATGTCACAGAGACCCCCATGGCCTCTGTGTGTCTCTTCTTTTCTTCCCAGCTGGCTCATAAGGCCTGGAATGTGAGCTTTCCTGTGCCCAGCCTAGGGCAGAGCACCTAGGGCTGCTGGGAACAGAGCATGTGCTTATTGAAGGAATGGGATTCACTGTAACAGAAGATCCCATCCGTATGACTTGATCAGTCTCTTTACTGACCATCTTTGTCATATTCCTTCTTAAGAACTGGCCTTGGAGGCCCCAATTGGGAAAGAAAGTCCTTACTAAGGTATATACACAGAATGAGGTGGCTGTCAGGGTCATGATGTGGCCACTAAGGGTCATTGGTCTTTGTTTTTCCAAAATACACCAGGCCTGTTGCAGGGCCTTTGCATAACCAGGGTCCTCTCCCAGGAAAGTCACCCCACCACTGTGAACTCAGCCTTTAGCTCGTGGTCATGTCCCCAGGATCTCTTTCATGACTGCAGACCGGATCAGGATTCCACTAGGATTTTCTTAAGCCCCACACTTTTGCTGCATAGCACCTGACACCATTGGTAGTCATAGACTTGTATATTTTTTTCCTGATTCACAGCTGCCTCACCCACTGGACTCTAGGATCCATAAGGTCAAGGGTGTTGTCTTCTTCTTCACACAGTACTTGGTGCTTGGTTTTTGCTGAGAAATTATTTGTTGATGAGTAAATAAAACAAGCTGGGCATAAGCTAGAGGAAGCAGGAACACCTCAAGGGCCCTACTTCCCACCTCAGTTCCCTGGAATGCAGTTAAGCAACAAGAAATTTCTTTCTTCTTCAGGCCAGAATGTTTCAGCATTCTCCTTTCTAGGCCAGGGAAAAAAGAACCTTGGTGGTGCAACAGTTAAGCACTTGGCTGCTAACCAAAAAGTTGGCAGTTCAAACCTAGTAAGTGGTTCCATGGGAGAAAGACCCAGTAAAGATTCCCATTCTCCCCACAAAACAAAACAAAACAAAACATAAAAACAAAAATCAAACCCACTGACATCAATGCCAATTCATAGGAATCTATAGGACAGAGCAGAAATTCCCCAGAGGGTTTCCAAGGCTGTAATTCTTTATGGCAGCAGACTGCTACATCTTTCTCCATGGAGCAGCTGGTGTGTTTGAACCACCAACCTTTTGGTTAGCAGCCAAGTACTTTAACCACTGTGCTACCAGATTTCTTTAATATGCATAAAGATTAAAAAAAAAAGAAAGAAAAGAAAAAAACCCCAACCCCCTTGCTCTCAAGTTGATTCTGATTCATAGGAACCCCCATTGGGTTTCCAAAGTGGTAAATCTTTTATTTATTTAATTAATTTATATTGTGATGTGGGTGAAAGTTTACAGAGCAAATTCATTTTCCATACAGCAGTTCATGCATATTTTGTTTCATGACATTGACTGCAATGCCCCACAATGTAACAGTTTTCTTCCCACTTCCTCCCTGTAGTTACCTCTTCCCTGTGTCCTTCTTTCCTATGCATTCCTGCCCCCTGAGCTATCTCCCTGTGCAAATACTGCCCTTCTGTTTTCCCATGATTGATCACTCTAAGGAGTGTATCTACCTGATGTAAACATTCACCCTAAATGCCTTTTTATTGTTTGGCTGGAAGCCACAGGAGTGAGTTTAGTTCCAGACCTGAAGGATAACTAGGGACCATAGTCTCAGGGGTCTCACCAGGCTCTATCAGAGCAGCAAACCTGGTCTTTTTTTTTTTTTTTTTAAATGGTTTTGAGTTTTATTCCATGTTGTTCTCCCACTCTATCCAGGATCTCCTGCACTGATTCCTTTCTGAGTGGTTGACAGTGGTAGCTGGGTACCACCTAGCTCTTCTGTTCTCATGGTCATATATTCTGAGGATCCTGTGGTCAACTGGTTCCTTGGACTAGTTGTTTTTATGTGTCTTTGGTTTTCTTCATTATTTTTTTCTCTGGATGAGGATAGACCTGTTGTTGCATCTAGAGGGATGCTTGCAAACTTTTAAAACCCCAGTTGCTACTCTCCAAAGTAGGATGTAGAACAATGTTTTTGTGTAGTATGTTATGATAATTGAACTTGATACCCCCTGTGACAATGATCCTGAGCCCACCAGTCCAACTACTTGCTCCCTCAGGGTGGTTGGCTATGACCAAGAAATTTCCATAACTTTGCAAGGTGGTAAATCTTTACGGAAGTAGATTGCCTCATCTTCCTTCCCTAGAGCAGCTGGTGGGTTTGAACCATCAGACTTCTGTTTAGCAGTCAGATGCCTTAAGTGCTGTGTAAAGCCTAGGAAACCCTAGGGGGCAGTTCTGCTCTGTTGCATGGGACACTAAGAGTCAAAATCGACTTGATGGTACCTAACAATAGCAAGCTAGGAAAGACAAGGATCTACCCCTGCTAGCAGCTGCTTCCTTTCTTTTACTTAGTGTTGGGGTGCCTGAGACTCATCTTGGACCCCCTTTGCTCAGCTTGCTCTTCTGACCTGCAGTTAAGTGCAGGCCCTACAACCTGAGATACAAAAAGGAAAAGCCTGGACTTTTCCTCCTCATCCTTCATAATAGGAGCTCTGGTGGCATAGTGCCTAAGGCATTTGACTGCTAACCAGAAGGCTGGTGGTTCAAACCACCCACCACTCTTTGGAAGGAAGATTGGGCAATCTACTTCTGTAGAGATAGCACATTGGAAACCCAAGAAGGGTCACTACGAGTTGTAGGTGGCCTGCCGTTGTCCATTGAGTTGCTCTTGCATTCCCATCATCCTGAATCACACTGGACTTTTGTCTGCTGAACCCCATGGGACCTGACATTGCAGTGTGGCAGAGCTGTATGACTCCCTCTCTCTTAATATTCAAATGGACATCCACTCAACTAGTGTTTGTTGGGTGCTGCATCCTCTACTGCATTTTCTCCTCTGCCTCTTGCTGTGCCATCTTTCCCAGCTATGTGCATATGAGCCACATGGGGGGCGGGTAAAAAGTGATTGTCTCCTGTACCAAAGGGAAGGCATTACCTTGGGCATCAGCTTTTCTGGGAAAGCTCATAGCAGGTGCTGAGACCACCCTCCCCCTGCCCCCTGAGCCTAAGATCTTGTGTTCCCTGGCAAAACTCTGTGGTGGCCATGACATCACAGTTTGAACACACATCACCCATCCCCTGGTGTTGAGAGTGGATGCAAATAGCTAGGCTGATGGCAAGTGTACAGATTAAAATGAGCCTTCCTATGCACAGGGGCTTTGCACCTCAGTGAGAGAAACAGATGCTAAGAGTATATGGGTGAAGTGAAGGCAGAGAGGGACATGGATAAAGTGAAATAGGAAGCTCCTCTTAGAGAGATAGTTCAATCAGTCCATCCATCTCCACAAGAGATCTGGTAGTGGGCTGTGGAAGTGGAAGAGTTACTGGTTTGCCTCCAGCATGGGTTCTGGTCTCCCATGGGATCTAGAACACATGGCATGTTCCGGTTTCAGTCATTATAAATATTCACTCCTTCATGCAGCATTAATAGGAGGAGACTGGGGCATGAGGTCCAGCTGCACACTCAGCCCACCCATATTGTTTCAGTTTCCTGCTTTCCCCAACTCTCCTTGACACCAGTGGGGAGCCCTTGGGATCAGGTGGGGTAGACTGAGATTCTGGAAGCCAACAGCTATTTCTGCTGCTTTCTGCTTGCATGCTGGCTGTGTTATTGGCATGAGATCACCTGTTGTTCTCAGGCTGTGTGGGTGATCACTGGGGGTCCAGTGTGGACTTCAGCCAGGACCTTAGAATCAGGAGGATGCAATGGTGAGTGGGATGCATTGTGACAGTGGAGGACCAGTACTTCTGCTTTTGCCCTGCATTGTGGCTCTGTCCACACTGAAGAGGCACTAGGGAGCACACTTTGTTCTCAAGTTCCTGTTGAACTGCAAATATTTCCCAATGATCTCTGGACTTGCTTTGCCCTTCATCATTATAGACATATAAGACCTCATTTCTGCCCCCAAGGAGCTTGGAGTCTAGTTGATCATCCTTCTTCTAATTTTATTTTCATCTACTTTTTTTGTTAAGGTAGCAAAAGACTATCATGATGTGGGGGGCTGAATAATGGCTTCCAAAGATGTACATGTCCTAATCTACATAACCTGTGAATAGACTTTGTGGATGTGATTAAGTTAAAGGACTTTGAGATGAGGAGATTATTTTATATTATCTTGTGGGCTAGTGCCTGACTCCTAAGAGAAAAGAAAGAAAACTGACTCCCAAACATATCTCTTGAGGCATTTATGAAGCAGTAGTGGAAACCATAAAAAGGAATTGGCCCTTTTGATGTTGACCTTACAGCCTGGATATTACTATAAAGAATACTTTCTCTATGCCTTTATCCTCTTTCCTCCATAGATCCTCACTTTTGTTGATTGGCAGCTTCCTTGTCAAGTGTTCAAATCTTGATCTCTTTTTCATCTTTCCCCCTTGCTTGCTTGAAGCACTAACAAGGACTCAAGGCTTCAGTAACTTTTTGACATGGGAGGTGTAGGCTTCTTATGTGACTAGAAGGTGACCTGTGAGGATGCCCCTCAGGTATACTTGCTTGTGCAGTGGGGTGGTTAATGAATGGTGCTTTCTGGCCTGGTCCACCAGGTAGTGTTGGTGTGGGCATGGGATTGGACAGATAGTAGTTCTGGGACATCCTCTGTGAATCACCCTTTTTTGAGCCCCTGCCTCTCATGCCTCCCAGTGGATGACCCCACTTTGAATGCCACTGAGCCCCTATGAGCTCCAGGAAGCCCAGCCATATCACCCAGTCTTTGGGAACACCAATTATTGCCTCCTGGGAGAGTGATCCTCTCTGAGATTCTGCTCTGGCTAGTGTGGGTAGGTGTGGGGATGGCATTGGCAAAGTCCATTTTGGGAGCAGAATAGATGCTGGGATGGGCAGCTCTGGGGGTGGTTCCAACTAAGAAGCCAAATTGCAGGAAGTAGTAGCTGGGCCTGGAACTTGAAAGCATATTTTGGGGTGTTGGAGATTCTCTCATCTCTTCCTGGTCCTCCAAACCAAAAAACCAAACTCACTGCCATTGAGTCAGTCCCGACTCATAGCAAGCCCTCATTGGGTTTCTGAGGCGGTATACTATGAAAGTAGATTGTCCAACTTTCCTTCCAAGGAGTGGCTGGTGAGTTTGAACCACCAGCCTTCTGGTTAGAAGTCAAATGCCTTAAGCACTACACCACCAGAGCTTCTTTATTCTTGATTCTTGTGATATAACTCTGAGACTATATGTCTTGAGTCCAAAGACACTTATAGTAAGAACTGAGAAACCCCTGCCGTCCCAGCTTGGTGGTACTAGTGTAGTGCTGCACCTGGCTATTCCTAACCCTCTCTGTGAGCTGCAGCTAAAGTAGTTGAAATAGGGAAAGGAGCTGAGAAAAACTGGCCAGGGTGTGAGAATGCCCTTTGTGGACAAGTGTCATAGAGGGCAGCTCTCCCCATACACTAGGACAGTTCTGGGACCCACAGTGCTGCCTGGTGTCAGGTAGGATATCAGGCATTGAGTGGGCTGGCAGAAAATGGGATATGGGCTAGGAAGAAAACTAAAAACAAAAAATCCCCCCCCCCCTTTTTTTTGAAATCTTTTGAGTTTTAAGTGTCAGCACTTAAAAAATTAAAAATATTACTTAAAAAATTTGTCTGGGTCCAGGTATCAGTGTTTGGAATTCATGTAGAACAAATGCCTTGTCTCACACCCTGGAAAACTCTGTCCTTTTATCATCACAAGGGCAGAGGGTGAGGATGGGGGCATTGGGCAGCCTGCCTTCCTGGTAGGGCAGGTCATCGGAGTCATTCATCATCCTCTCCTCAGAGAAGACACTTTGTTTCTGAATGGAAAAAAAGAACATTATTTATGACCTTCCTTTTTCTCTTTTTCTCTGCAGAAGTCTGCAGGGCTCTCAACGTGACTGTGTCCCCAGGGCCTGTGGTGGACTACCTGGAGGGAGACAATGCCACTCTTTTTTGCCACATCTCCCAGAAGCGGAGGAGAGATAGCCTGCTGGCTGTGCGCTGGCTCTTTTCACTGTCTGATTCCCAGGAAATCTTGATGATTAAGATGACCAAGCTCAGGGTGGTACAGTACTATGGCAATTACAGCCGTAGTGCCAACCGACGGAGGCTACACCTCCTTGAGGAACGGCGTGGGACACTGTATAGGCTTTCCTTGTTGACCCTCCGGCTCACGGATCAGGGACATTACATCTGCAAAGTCCAGGAAATAAGCAAGCACAGGAACAAGTGGACAGCATGGTCCAATGGCTCCTCAGCTACAGAAATGAGAGGTAAGGACATGGTCTATCTCTCTAGCAAGGATCAGTGGTCCTCCCTCCTGTCTGCCAGGCAAGGCCACCAAGATGGCTCTGGGGAGCTAGAACACATCCTGTCTCATTTATGGACCATACCATGTGATTTGGGACATGGGGATGCAGTATAGATCTTTATGTGGACGTGAGGGCTGATGTGTGTTGTAGACATGGAAGCAAGGACAGAATAGAGCAAGTGTCTGGTTTCCATACCACCCAGCTCAGCCTCTGGGTAAAACCTCATTTGTGTCTGAAAGATTGAGATGGGTTTGTTCTTACCTCCAATCCCCAGGACTGTGTAGCCTGGATTTTTTTGGGTGGGACTGCTGGACACCATGGAAGTAGGTACCAGGATATGAGTGTCAGGCCTATAAGCAGGTCTGGCTGGTGGCTCTGATTCATTGCTCAGAGGAACTGATCCAGTCCTCAGGCTCAATGAGAATGTTGAGAAATGGGCAAAGGACCAGAGGTAGCCCTGCCTTCTTGGACATATGTGGTAGGAGGTATGGGCTGCATTTGCAGAATGTCTTAGCTACCAAATGCCAAATTTAAGGGTAATAATATCTTTTATCACAAATGTTCTATTCAAGAAGACACATCTGACAATTTTAGTAAGACTTGCCATTATGCACTAAAATATCTTTGATTGCTTTGAACTTGAATTTGATCTGACTTGAATTGTGATCAGGAGAATCAAAAAGTAAAACTGATAGTCCCAAATATAAGAAATAATTTTATTTTATCATATGCATGTAATGTAATAGTAAAAACCATAGTGATGTTGTTTTTGTAAACTTAAATTAAACATTAAAAAAATGTTTTATTTTATTTTTGGTGAAAATATACACAGCAAAATACACTCTCATTCAACAATTTCTACACATAATGTGCAATGACATTGGTTACGGTCTTCACATTGTGTCAACATTCTTGTAACTCTGTTGTAGTTGTTTTGCTCCCATTAGCTTAGACTCACTGCCCCCCAAATGTCTCATCTATGCTTTAGAGTAACTGTTGTCCATTTGGTCTTTGTTGTAGTTAAAGTTGTATGTCAACTTTGTTGGGCCTGGTTGAGTGGCTAGGCAGCTGGTGATAGTTATTCCCCATGATGAGACTTGACAATCAACTCCATGGTAGAAACTACCATAAGCAACTGAGGGACTGCTTTAGGTATGTGGTCTGCTTCCCGTATATAAGCAGCAACTTTGGGAATGGTCTCTAGCTTATGGCACACTTGGACCCTGCATGTATCTGTTTAGCAGCTTGCCATCCTCTGCCAACCTTGAGACTTTCAATGGATTTTAAATAATGGCCTGCTGTGTGGCTTTGTAACATTGGGACTGTGCCTATTTACTTGTCAACTTTGGGCTTATCAGTCTCAGCAGCCAGTAGCTGTCTGAGTGAAGAAAACCTCTAGCTTCAGTGGGCTGGGAGCAGGAGCAGAGCTGAAGCCTAAGGCTGAGGGGCTTTAATCCAGCCCCTAGAGCCTGGTTCTTTGAACTCGGACTTAAAGCCTCCAAATATTAAGAGAATAAACTCCTGTTTGTTCACCCATCCATTTGTGGTATATTCCTGTCAGAGTGGCACTAGGTAACCAGAACAGTCTTATATAGATAATTTTTTAAAAGAACACAAAACTCCAGGGTGACAATCTACTTTTTGAACTAAGCTGTTACTTAATTAAAGTGACTTCAGAGAATAGTTTCCATTCAAGTTTTAAAGAGTAACTCAGGGCAATAGTTTTTTTTTTTTTAATTTTTATTTTTATCGTGATTTGGGTGAAAATTTACAGAGCAAATACACTTTCCATACAGCAGATCACATACACTTTATCTCATGACATTGACCACAATTTAGCACAATGCAACATCTCTCCCACTTCCTCCCGATAGGTACCGCTTCCCTGTGACCATCCCTCCATGCACTCCTACCCCCTGAGCTGTCTCCCTGTGCCTGAGCAGCCCTTCTTTCTCTCTTAATTTTTCTCTCCAAGGAGTGTATCTACCTCAGATAAATGCTCAACTAGTATGCCTGTCTACTGCTTGGTTGGAAGCTACAGGTGTGTGTTCAATTCCAGACCTGAAGGGCAGCTAGGGGCCATAGTCCCAGTGGTTCCACCAGGCTTGATCGGGCCAGTAAACCTGTTTCCCGCTTTTTTTTTTTTTTTTTTTTCAGGGCAATAGTTTTGAGGATTCCTCTAGCCTCAATGGATCCAGTAAGTTTGAACTTTTTGAAAGGTTAAAACTCAGTTATGAAAAGATATTTTTAATGCTCTATATATGAATAAGGGAGATTTTAAAGCAAATAAATGGGTATTCTTTAAAATAGTCAAACTTTACTGGTCTCTGGAGTTTGCTTACTTTGATGTCTTAAGCACAGAATGATGTATTATTTAAATGTGCATTTCTACTTAAGCAAATTAATTCAAGAAAACAAACGACAATTAGTATAAATATGTATTCTGGCTCAGAAAACAAAAAATACATCAAATGACTAAGGATTGTGGAGGGACTCCAAATATCACTTAGCTCTTTGAAACACAAGATCTTATATATGTCTTTTTTGTTTTCATATCACAATATATGCTGGAGCATTGCAGTAAAGCTCTTGGCAGTGACTGGGCTCTGCCATTAGAATACGGTGTATAAAAAGGTTCATCAAGTAAGTGGAATCATCTGGTTCATTTTTTAATGTGAATCTGCTTTCACTGAGTGGAGCTGGGCTCCTTCTAGAATATTTATTTGGCTACTTGCTCCAAAAGCCTGAGGTAGTTTGTAAGACTTCACTGGAAATAAAAAGCTTATTTTTCCATTTTCTCTCCTACTTCCTTCTTCTTCCCTTCTTTCCTTTCCTTTCCTCCCCTTTTTCCTCCCCTTCCCTCTCTCCCCTAAAAATCTCCTTTCTTCTTCCTCTTCTCTTTCCACCTTATCTCTTTTTCTTCTCTTATTCTCCCCTTCCCTTGCCTCGCTGTCTCTTTGCTTCTTTCCTCTCTCTCTCCCTGTCTCTCTACCCTCCTCTGTTTTTTCTCTCTCTCACTCTCACTCTCAGTTTTTCTCTGTCTCTCTGCTTCTCTCTTGCTCATTCACTCTTACACACACTCCTCTGATTGCTCACCTGCCTGAGAAAGGGTGCCACCTCAGCAGAGCTGTGTCTCTGCTGTGGTTTTGTCTCCTGCTCACACAGATCATCTGCCTCTCTTGGCAATGCCTTGTTTTTGTGATGGGAAGATTCAAAGTCTTAGGGAAGCAGCAATCATACTTTTAGAGTGTTCCACTTTGGCTGCCAGAGGATTATGCCAAGGGAGTTCAGGAAAGGTAACTTCAAGTAAATGCTCAAAACCAGCCTGGCTTGTTTAGCTTAGAGCAAGTCTGTCCCAGGCAGAAGTAGGTGTTAAGAGGCCTTGTCCAACACCCTTCCTGCTGCAGGGCTAGAGTCAGTCCTGTGGCTTTGGCCCCTCAGGAAACTCTCCCCAGGACTTGCTTTGCTCATCTCCAGGGGGTGTACATGTCTTGGCCTCATGCCCTGTTTTTCAAAACCTCCACTTTATGTTAATAGTTGTTACATGGTAAAGAAAAATAAACAATGAAAAGGTCTGTGGGCAAATGTTTGAGTTCAGGAGTATTAAATAATAACTCTCAGAGGGTGTTTTTGGAGTGCTTTTCCCCACTAGACCCCACATTGTTGTTGTTAGTTGATAGTTAGTCAACTCTGACTCATGGTGGCCTTATGTATAACAGATTGTCCCATGCTATCTTCATGATGTTTAGTCCACTGTCCTGGTACTGAGTCCTTGGGGACTCATCTTCCAGCACTGTATCAATGTTCTGTTGTAATCCATAGGGTTTTCAATGGCTGATTTTTGAAAGTAGGTTACCAGGCCTTTCTTCCTAGTCTGTCTTAGTCTAGAAGCTCATCTGAAACCTCTGCACCATGGGTGACTCTGCTGATACTTGAAATACCACTGGCATAGCTTCCAGCATCATGTTGTTGTTGTTATGTGCCGTCAAGTCGGACTCATAGTGACCCCTCCTTGGGTTGCCAAGGCAAGTATCACTACAGAAGTAGATTGCCCAACCTTCCTTCCGAGGAGTGGCTGGTAGATTTGAACCACCAGCCTTCTGGTTAGCAGTCAAGTACCTTAGGCCCTATGCTACCAGAGCTCCTAGCAACATGCAAACCACCACAGTATAAGAAACTGATGGGGTAATTTTTCTTGGAAATCTCCTTCTGTTACTACACCTCCTTCCCCACCTCCCACCTTTAACAATAGTGTTCTTCTTCCTTCATTTTCTTAACCTGAGATAAAGTTGCTTATCTTTTACTCCCAGAAAGAAAGAATGAAATATGGTCTCTTTTCATCTCACTATTGAAAACATCACACCTAGCAAATGAAGGTGGATTTGAAATAATGTGTATAAAGAACAGTTTCTGGGACATAATAAGTGCCATAGGAGTGTTGGCTTTTATTATTATATCCCCTGATTTCCATGTGTTTTTTTTTTCTACTGCAAAAAGAATATAGTTCAATTCTAGAAAACATGGAAAATACTGAAAGAGTATAAACAAGAAAAAAAAATTACTATCTCCATCCAAGTATAACAGCATTTCAGTGTAAATCCTTCCAATCATTTTTATACAAATAAAAATTAAAACCTAATTTTAGTCGTATCATAAATGCAGCTTTGTGACTAGCTCTTTGCACATCACTAAATATCACGCTCATTTCCCCATGTTGTTAAATATGCTTCTATAACTTGATTTTTAATGGCAGAATTATGTTTCATCCTGTGGATGTACCATAATTTAGTTTCCCAGTTACTGTTATATGGCATTTAAATTGTTCTAAATCCTTCTTAATAAATCTCCATGGGAGCCCTTGTCTTTAGAATAAAGTCCTGGAAGTAATATTGTTAGGTTCAAGGGTATGTATACCCAGTCTAATGATTGATAAATATTGGTGAATTGACCCCTAGAATACT